ATTGAATTAATTTTTTAATTCTAATACAAAGTATTAAAATTATTTTTTTAATTCTAATACAAAAGCATTAAATTAAGCATTATTTAATGCAATGCTAATGTTAAGCCGACACCCCTAGTTTGTGCAGTCGCTGCTGAATGAAACGGAGATTGAAGTTTAATAATGCAGCTATTGTGACGATACAACGAGATCAACTTCTCTTCTACAATTGTGAGACCTTGAAGTTCTGACGGTATGGTGCCTAGCCACATGCCGTTTGCAGGAGAGAATTTTGGGATCGATCCGTTCGATAGTGAATCGTAGCATTTACAACAAACTGTGCTCATCCATGTCTTGCCCTGCTTGGAGAGACCACCGCTGTACAACATTGAGTTTGTTTCATTGAAAAAGTAAGGTAAGTTGACATCGAAGGATTCATAATAGAGAATCAAGTAATATCTCCATGAATTCCAAGAGTGACTTGTGATGACCAGGTCTTTGAGATCTTGAGATACCACCAGTAAGTGGAGACCAGGAATTTCCTTGACTGGAAGTTTCTTTGTCTTTTTCACAGGAGCACGCACGTGGCATACCGCACATATATACGGCAAAGATTCGGTCGATCTAGCTGACACTTATAGGAGTGACTACTAACTCTAGGCTCTACAATTTGTACAAGCAGCCACGACCGGTTTCGACCTTGCTTAAGGGTCTCATCAGGTGGCTTGTTCAGATTCATCATAACCCGAAGGCTATAACAAAAACCGAATGTTCAACTCTTATATTAAATTGGAGAGAACCGGTATTAAGATGTATGGCTACAAATTTTACAAGCAGCCACGACCGGTTCTCTCTTATTTAATATAAGAGTTGAATATTTGGTTTTTGTTATAGCCTTCGGGTTATAATGAATATGAACAAGCCACCTGATGAGACCCTTAAGCAAGATCGAAACCGGTCGTGGCTGCTTGTAAAAAGTGAATTCCACCACACTTCAGCTGCAATATCTCAATGAAATTGATCTTACTTCTAGCCCTTTCATTCTTTGTATTTTTGACTAGTTCGGCAATATTGTAAGGCACATATTAAAAAAATTCTCTTTTTTATTGACCGATCACAGATGTTATTACAAGAAAACACAAAAACAAAATATATTCAACGGGAATATGAATCTATGTCTTTACTCAAATCTTCAGTTCACGTATAACTTTCCATACATCCAAACGAATCCATTCCATTTGTGTTGGATTATATTTAACCAAATAAATATCTGATGTCAATGGAAATGGTAGATGACCTTCCGATTGTTCTAACATTAATTTTACTGGTTTAAATATTTTTTCATTACAATACGTTCTCAATGCCTCTATCCATACATCTGGATGATCAATAGGTGAGACATGTTCATGTACCTCAGGAGTCATCCGATAATTTACAACAAATGCTAAATGCATGATGGCATCATAGAGACGTCCAGCTGGTGTCATTTGACTTGCTTTCTGGAAACTAATTGGACTCGTAATTATTAAACCGATTTCATCTTGTCCCCATGCAAATGGATTAACCCAATCATTTGCAGCCCATACGTCTTCATCATCCGCTGTATTATTCTTATGTGCAAAACATGACCATACTGTTACTTTTG